GTGCGACTGGCTTTTTCAAGACGTCAAATGAGCACCACTACGACTGTTGGTCTGACTTCTTCACAAGGGCTCTGAACGTGAGGAAGAGTACGTTAGGTACAAGTTCTCAGAGCGAGAAGCTTGCACTGTACTACCGTACTGGATCGCGACAAGGACGAATGGAGACTTCACTGGCGGTCAAGAAAGGACGATAGATGATTCAACCGTTAGTAACAGCGAAACTAAATAGAAATTTCATGGAGCGGAAAAAATGAAAGTATTAAAATAAGGTCTAGAGACTTCAAGTTCTCTCTTTGGAAAAGTCAGCATCTACAGTATTATATTTAGTATTTTTGATATATGAACCATGAAGCGTTCCCTTATCGAGAAATAATTGAAATATAAAAGTCATAAAATTATTACTGTAATGTATTAGGCCAACTATAAAAAGTTCTTTCTACCACCTTTGCTGGTATGGCAAAACAATTAATGGCACAGTTCACGATAATTTTGAGGTACCCTTTTTGAGTCGAAAAGCGAATGTGTTAGTTGAGGGTGACTTCGTGAAAAAGAAGGCTCCGTGAAAGTAGTGAAAATAGAAGATACCATGAGGAAATGGCATGGGAGGGGATTCGGACGAGATCCCAACTGCTGCGATTACGCAAAGAGCTGACTATACGGAGCCAATATTGCTCGAAACTGTCTTCCACTGTCGTCAGGGATCATGACAAATTGTTTCAACTCCCTATAAGGGATCCCTTGTGAATTGCGCAGCTTCTATAACGCCGTTGAAGCCCGTCTGTTGTGGGTGTGGCCAAAAAGATTCTCGACCTGACATCGGCACATATGCTATCAGTAAGGGCCCCGAACTCATCCGATGGGAAAATCTAAGGGACCATTCTTATCGTGAACTGTGCCTTCAAGCTACATCTTTGGTATGTATAGAAAGTCCAAACCTGAGGCGGACATAGAAGAGCATCCAGCTTCTTTTCTTGCATTAAAAGTACGAAGTCTCCTCGATAGTCTTCAATATCTGCGTAGGTTTCACGAAGCTCTAAAATGTGCTGGTTAGCCACTTGCAAATTTAGGAACAGAAAATAATCAAAAGACTTTGGAAGTAGTAAAAAGTTGTGGATAATTCTTAAGATCAAAAGCCAACTTTTTCGCAGTGGTTTGAGGGAAGAGTATCATCCCTTCGACCAGAGTCGGTCCGATTCTCTCGTTGAGTAAGACCACGTGTGCGGACTGCACTCACCTGCGGTGTTCAAAGCCATCGCATGCATCATATTGGCCAAACGTGGGAAGATGAACTTTGTAGGGTAAGCGAGTATACGCTGTACCCAAAGTGGGACCATGAAAAGCCCGATTTGCGGAAATAGAGTCGGATCAATTATATCCTGAAATATCAACAATTGATCGGTGACATTAATTAGTTTAATAATACTCACATTGAACAACTTGTTCTTCAAGAATTGACCTCCATCAACACACACCGCACGGATGAAATGACGCATTACGAGTGGGATTGATGGTGGATGGAATGGTACTAAAGTGTGGCCAGCCGCTTCAAGATGACTTTTTGCTTCCAATACTGCTCTCTGAAAAACATTCCTCAACAGTCAACTCCGAACTAGATAATGGAAGAGATAATTGTCTCTGGCATTAATCAGGGATGCGCCCCTGCATTAGACTTGATGTTAAAGTCGTACTGGCGGTTTGTATGCGAGTACGGCCCATGCAATGGTCTATAGTGGCCAGGGGTTGTAAAATTCAGTACTTTCATCTCACTGGACGAGTATAGTACCGATTGATCGACCTCGAAGGGTTGGGAAGCTCGGTTGGCCTGGGCGAGTATCGCTACAAGATGCAATCCAAGGACCATGCGAGTGTGATGGTGCGCCCATTGTCACCATATTATCTACTTCCATGCCCAAATAAGAGAACTTCAAAATCCCGATATCAACTAATTCCCTGAAGAAGCGCCAGTCCGAACTTCATTCAGAATCGCTTATTGAAGTTCTTCTTGGAATGGGATAGCTGCCATAGGGACGAACCTGTCTGAAGGTGAAGGCGCAGTAGGTTACCATAGTCAGAATTCTTTTGCTCAATAGGTGAACTTCAAAAGTGCTACTGATGCGAGTGCTAGAAAGCAAACAAGAAACTATTACATCCCCTCTGAAGAAATCAGCAACGATTTGAACACCTAGCTCTAATAAATCATGGGTCACTATCAATGCAGTTCAGGGTAAAGGGAAGCTGAAAGCAAGGCTACTGTACTCTATTACATATAAAAGAATCCTAGCGGAGATCGTCAAAAATACATATCTATGTAAGCAAGTGTATTGTTCACCTGTATAGCAGGAACCGGAGTGAACCATCCATCGTCTACATAGTATCCGATACGGTATGTGCTGCCCCCCTTGTACTGCTCTTCATTCCACAGTACTGGCGGAATATACGGATCCTGCACTGAAGCCCAGTCATCACGCCACATCTACAAGTATTTACGATGAAAAATAGAAATACGATATTTTAAAAGCCGGAAAAATGGAGGGAAACGCTTGTTGCGCGCGACCGTCGAAAGTAGGTCAACCCGCCTACTTCGCGCGCGGTGCACCTCACCGAGGACATTACGGTACCGCAAAAGTCAGTGGTACTGTAATGCCATCACAAGACCTCGGTGAGGTGCGAAGCGAAGCGAATGATTTGCATTTGTCCGTGTTATCTTTTCTTCGCTGACTGTCGTGGACCAAGCGCCAATCGAATGCTCCACTGACAACTGCGACGTCCGTCAAGTATCGCGAGCTGACTCGCCGCAGGCGACGGCTGACGGTGACCTAGTTTCGACGGACGCGCACAACAAAGCGAACCAGAAAAAAGCAAAACTATTCATGAAACTAATCGAATAAAAATATGGCAAAGCTGCCTGAACCTCTCTCAAAAAATCTACGGTGGTCTCTATGTCCACAGTCATCGGGCCGTCATTAGAGTTGATTAGTGGTCGTCCCGGAATAGAACCACAAACTCCTCTATGGGAGAATCGCAAGTGGGATGGCTGAAAACATGTTTTCATTAGTCATGTATTATTTTTGTCTGGTAAGAGTTTGGTTCAGTAACAGTGGCGGGGGGTAGGTAGTACTACTTGGAGCCGATACGCCTTATGACGACCGAGAATTAAGAGTGAGGGCGGATGAACGGCTGATTCCAAGAGAAAATCGATCAGCATCGGGAGAATACTCTACTCAAATGATCAGCTAGACAAACCTTGATTCCAGCAATTCCAGTAAAATGACAAGGGATTCTTATCGAACCACCTACATCTCCGCCGATACCTAAAAAACTTAATAATACTTGCAAACACGAAGCAAATTCTCGAGCTAATGGTAAGTATGTGTTTTGCTAAGTTATACAGAGAAACGTTGCTGCGAACAATTCTTCCTAAGTGGACTGTTCTCAGTACGCGCCATGTATTCGCCAATGAATTGGAATAAACAGGACGAGAATTTTGGAAGAAAACGAGAGACTTTTTTTTCCTTTGGGGAGGTAGGCGGTCGAATGGGAGATAGGAGCCCTGAACCCTACCTCCTTACTGTTCCATTTCAAATGCGATAACCACAGCGACCGGAATCAACGGAGGCCGGAAATCGAAAGGCAATATTCAATTATCAGTTATTAGAACATATTTTTTCGTGTTGATGAGTAAAAATGAATTTCAATGAATTAACCTATCACTGAACCACCAGCAGCAATAATCGCTGCCTCTCCACCGGATGAGCCACCAGAAGTGCGTTCTTTATCCAGTGGATTGTTTGTGGTACCTCAACAGGCAAAATCAAACTAACAACTTTGGTCACATAGAAAATAAATTTCTCTACAAATTGAATTATATAAAAGAATACTGCAACCTACCGTAAACCGGATTGGAGCAACTGTACGACAACATAGACTGAGGTACATTTGTTTGTACAAATGGTATCATTCCTAAAAGTCGAATCCCTTCAAACATCTATATGATCAAAATATAAGTATGTGTATGTCTATGGATAGTAAATTATTACTTCATTCCTTCGAACCCTTCTATTAAATACTTTTAATCCAAAAAAAACGTGACGAAAGAAATCACTGTGAGACGAGAGCCTGGCGAGGTCTAGTATTGCTATAATAAAAAGGTAAAGTGAGGTATCTGAATAAAGCTTCCGAACTTAGTGGAAGCAAACAGAAATGAAAGACTCTCGGGTAGAATTTTTCCTTTAACAAAATGGCATAATTTGCAGAAATCCCTTCAAGTTTCCCCTATTTCTTATGCCAGCAATGTTCTCTGATCAAAACCGAGGGCAATTCTCTCATACAATTGCCGGTGCCATTATTGTGAATGTGTGAAAAGTATCGGCAGATTCATTTACTATTTTTGATCCACACGACCAAGAATCATGTTTTTCTGAAGTGCGTGGGGTTGAAATGACAAAGACGTTTGGAAACAGACTATAGTGGCCAAGGGGAGTGGTCCATTCAAAGTGGGTGGGGCTATAACGACAAGACATTTAGAAAGACGCATAACATGCAGAGCAACAGCCCTTGAGTTTGAGAAAAAAACCGAAATGTCCCGAGTCTCTCAAAAAAGCCTAACCAATTGTTCATGTTCATTTCTCCCGATTTTCCATAACTTATTCAATGGGCACGAACGGAATGTTTTTTGGTATTCAAATTGTGAACGTCTCACCCAATCGTTTGACGTGCTGTACCATAACCGCATCTACTTTAGTGGGAGCATACACGTCTTGTACAAAGCCTCGAGTCTGATCA